AGAGAGAGAGAGAGAGAGAGAGAGAGAGAGAGAGAGAGAGAGAATTCTTCTTCTTCTTCTTCTTCCTCTAAATCCACCATCTCTCCTTCCCCCCCTCGCCACGTGACTTTTCGCTTCTGACAGACTAAGAGAGAGAGAGAGAGAGAGAGAGAGAGAGAGAGAGAGAGAGAATTCTTCTTCTTCTTCCTCTAAGTCCACCATCTCTCCTTCCCCCCCTCGCCACGTGACTTCTCGCTTCTGACAGACTAAGAGGGAGAGAGAGAGAGAGAGAGAGAGAGAGAGAGAGAGAGAGAGAGAGAGAGAGAGATTTGTGACTTCGGGATGTTGACGACATTTGGATACAATCTCAACCTGGGGACAGAGACATTAATGGGAAACTATTTGAGATCGATATCAACGACATTGGCGCTGGCGACATTCTCATCTTCTCCCCCATCTTCGTCTGATCCCCCTCCTTTCATCTGTGTATGAGTGGAGCCTGGCGCATTCTTCCTGTGTATAGCGCCAGGCCCCTTCACACCTGGCGAGGATGATGATGCATGTTTGGTCTGCATTGCGACATTGATTGGTCTGATCATTGGTGTTCTGGCCTTCCGCTGCGCTATCCTGTACTATGTGAGAGAGGCCGGTTCTTGTTCTGGTCTGCACCGTTACGGTATGCAACAGTTTGGTATCGGAGTGGACCTCTCAATCAGAGGATCCGCCCAATCAAGGAGCCAGCTTGCTTGTTTGACTGACTGATTGATTGATTGATTGATTGATTGATTATTAGTTAATCAAGTAGGGCTTCGTCAAATCTCTGCAATTTTTTATTTTTTTTTTCGCAACAGATCTCCGGAACTTCGGATATTAGCATTTCGTCTTTTTGTTTCACTCTGGGCATATTTGGGAACTTGGGAGGTTGTCATATTCTCGGACTGGATCTATTCTTCTCTGAAAGTGGAACCTCCATTCTATTTCGCGCAAATTTTTTTTTTTCAAGATCGCATTTTTTTGAAAGCCAAAACTTTGCGAAACCTTGCCTAGATCTCTCTCATGGTACTCCTCCGTAATGCCTCACTGATATCAAATCGACAGATTTTCAAAAAAAAAAAAAAAAAAAGAGAGAGGGGGGGATCCTCTTCCTTCTTTTTTTTTTTTTCTTTTTTTTTTTCTGTTGATTAGGACCAGGGATGGAAAGTGCAGTTGGGTTACGTTCCTGTGTTTCCCTCCCACCCAGCCCTTTGCCTGCATTCCCGGTTTGGTAAGTGCCACGTCAGCAACAGTGCCACGTCACCAACAATGCCACATCAGAAGTGCCACGTCAGCAGTGCCCCGCCACCATGACGGTTTCAGTTTTGGGCATGCCAGGCCAACTGGCCAACGAGTCCATTGTCAAGTACCGACAGCGGTTCCAAGCTCAGCTCGCACTGATCGAAGCTGAGGAACAGCGCCAGGCGGCAGCCGAGGCTGCCCGCCTACAGGCTGAAGCGGAGGCAGCAGCTGAAAAGCAGCGGCTTCAGGCCGCAGATGACCCAGATGCCCAGGCCCGCCGCAAGGAGGCCCAGGGTCTGCTGCAGCGGCACGAAGCCGCCAGCGTCGACAGGCTCAAGTTCTGGCATTTTGAACCATCCGAGGGCCACGATGACGCGACACCAGAAGAGCAGCACAACGAGTTTCTCTCCAAACTCCTGACCCGGTTGGTTTACACTTGTAACCACCTGCAGTCCGAGCTAGAGAAACAGCACCAGGAACTGGCAAATCTCCAGCGGGCAGTGTCGAACCACAAGGATCTGCACGAGGGTGCTACACGGGCACTTCATACCCGTGTACAGGACTTGGAGCAAGCAGCACCAGGACCAAATGCTCGCGAACCCAACAATGCAGCCTCAACCCGCCAGTTGGAGCAACGAGTTGATCATATTCTTGCAATGCTCGGCGACATCAGCACCTTCGCCGCACGGACCTCCATCAGCGAGCAGCTCAACGCCTTGAAGAACGAGGTTCGGCAATTGCGCCAGCCGCCCGACAACGATGGCAGCACCAACGCATCGCGGCAGTACAAGATGCCGAAGTTCCGGATCGAAAAGTTTGATGACTATACGCATCAAGACCTGGACCCCTGGTGGCAGGGCTTTACGACGGAGCTTCGGATTCATGAGGTCCCCGCTCACTTGTACATCTCGGTGTTGTTCCTCGACGCCAAGGGCGGATGCCAGATTTGGGTCAGCCACATGGCAACCATCCACGGCGTCCAGGTCACCGACTTGCACAAAAAGATCTTTTGGGGAGATCTGACGAAGGAATGAAAGAAGCGTTTCATTGTGAACGACGCCCCGACGCTCGCCATCAACCGCCTCTTCGCCATGACTCAAGGCAACACACCGACACTCGACTGGCTCACGGAATGGCAAAAGATCATGGCAACACCCGATCTCGACTTGCCATTTTCGCATCCGCGCCGAGAGTTCTACAACCGGTCGTGTGCCGCCTTGAGCCTCACACTCGGTGATCACGAACAATACACGACCTTTGTCGAAATTATCGACAAGGATCGTGAGATCATCAAGACCAACCGGGCTGCTGCACACGAGAAATCCGCATGGCACCCAGCCTATGTGGAGAAAGGAAAATTTGGTCCGCGTCTGCAGCCCGTCGCTGCAGTCCAACGGGGATAACCTTGTGGAAGACCCGGCAGCCACTCCAGCATCACGTAAGGGAGATCAGGTGGTTGTCGTCCAGTCGCGAAGCAACTACAACTCTCGTGGAAAAGGGAAGGCAAAAACAACATCACCGACCGGAAATGGACAGCCAGTACCATGGGTCAATACAAGTACCGCAGCCGATACGACTGCTGCTATTGGTGCAACAACACCAAACACAAGACCTCCCAATGCCAAGACCGAGGCAAGGAGGATGTTCGACCTCGAATCAGCTTGGGAAACTGAGCTGCGCGGGAGGTGAGGCGACTCCACCTCTCACTCCGCCAGGTTCGCCCGCCTTGCTAGCAGCCTCCTACACATCTAGGGAGAATGCGGATGTCGCAAGTCCTCGATTCACTTACGAGGACTATGTTGTCCACTTGGTCCCACCGTTGGACCAGCCACTCCACGTGCAAGACTCCACCGCATGCACGGTTTCATCACCATTGGCAACCGATTCGGCAGCTTTGCCGCCAACTTTCGTCGGGGATTCGATGTCATGGTCAAGACTTGAGAGACTCGACCCGTTGATGTTCGCGAACTTCCAAGGGATGCCCCTGCCCCCGACCGGTCGACTGCCGAAACCTCATTGCAACGTGCTCATGCCACAATTGCGGGATCACTTGCACCCTGCAGTACCAGCTTCGTTGATGGATGCCGGAGTAGAGGTTGTTGACCTTCGCAACTACGTTGCAAAGATCGACCGCGAGTTCAAGACACAACGGTACGACACCAACGACGCACCATTGTTGTACATACACATTCAAATAAGAGAAGCGACCTGACCTGCAGCGTTTTCATCTATTGCGGAGCTACTCGCAACTATATCCTAGCCGACCATCGCAAGACCCTCCGTCTACGGATGGTCATCAGGAAGTCGACTGCATCATCACGGATCGCAAGTACGGCAACAAGCCTCGACAGTACAAGGTTACCTTCAAAGCATGCGATCCTGACGACACTCGATGGATTTCACGAGCAGATTTGCAAGCATCCGCACCTCTGATCTACACTCACTACGAACAACAAAGACCAGCTAGGGAAGCTTCACGACTTGCCCCTCCCACCCGGACTTTGGTCCCTCCCTCCGACAGGCAGCTTCGCCCTTGCAAGTAAGCTCAGTCTTTCAAGGAGGGGGGGGTGTGGCATACTGCGCACCACATAGGCCCAACCAGGTGATAAGTCAGGGCCCTCCAAACCCTGTGTCGTTCCAGCTTAAAAGCCTAAAAAGGAGGGTCATTTTCAAGCCCTCATAAAGTCGACCTTTCCTGAAACTTAGGCTCCAGACCAGGGATAAGCGCAGGCCACTTTTAGGCCCGTTTCAAGACAACCTTTTTTTGAACTTCAGCGCCAGGGTCTGGCACGATTCGGCATTGGCCAGAGCAGCCTCCCAGCCGGACCAGCACTATGTAGTACTGGTCCGGCCTGCAGGCTGCAGGCAGTTGAGGAGGCAGGAGGCAGTCTTCAGGATTCGGCCGCAGCACTCTGCAAGAGCGCTGCAGTAGTAGTAGCTAGCGTTAGGAGTGGTCTTCAACGCTTGATGCAGGAGCTTAGAGGAGCATTGTCGAGCGCATAGGTCCCTCACCACGCAGGGCGGGACCCTCCCGGCCGCGTCACTCAGGAGTTGGTCTACCTCGTCGCGAACACACATGGAGCTTCCACAAGACCGTCCGGCCGAGTGCGCCAACCGTACCTCTCGCGAGCCCCTACGACAAGATAGGGCCTACGCGAGGCACGACTTACTTCCACCTTGCGGGAGTTGTCACCTCCCTTCGGTGGGCGTATCCTCGCCGAGCTACCAGTCCACAGTACGAAAGCTAATCAGTTGCAATCGCAGAGGTGGACCAGCCGAGGGCATTTCTCGTTCGCTGTAGCATAGGGGGTACGCGCGGCCTCATGCCTGTATCGGACCCACACGCGAACCGACGCCTTGGGGGGCTGAGGTACCAAGCGCGACTCGTCGTCGGTCGACTAGGACGCATCCCACATACCACGCATTACACCACTTCACTCACATTTATAGAACGACACAAAACAAACAACACAACAACACTCCTAGTCCCTTTCGTAGTCCTCCCATAACCTTCTGACGCGGAAATCGGATAGGCGACGCGCGCAAGACTTAGTATAAAACCGCGCAGACGCAGGGCCTTCCCATATCGACTAGCAATGCATGAATACGCAAGCAGTCACAATGATGGCGTACTATACAGTGCCCATAATCAAGCGGTCCCTCGTGAATCTGAGTATCGCTTATGACACTCAAGTGTCAAATCGAAGTATCGTGAAGGTCAAGCCCTTCACGATATTGCACAGTTGAAGGAACAACCGTTCGGCCCCCGCTGCACCTTCGGCCCTTAGGCTGAGTGTCCCGGTGGGCAGGGCAAATAGGCTATGCGCAGGGGGTGATCCCTTCCGCGCGGAGTCTAGGACGTGGGATATCCTGGACAAGGACCTCGAATCCAAGCCCAGGACCAACGTCCGACTAAGAAACTTTTTTAAGAAGCAAACTGTAAAGGAAGTAAGCCTCCTTTCCTTTCTTGATCTGGACCCCAATTAAACCCTTGAGCGTGGGCTCCTTAGGCCACGTGAAACACCCAAACATAGGTATGTACGTACATATGTAGTGGGGAATACGTATGCGATGATCACTTCTCACAATCACGGTGGGACACCTCTCAGCCATATATCTGTGAGTGATCGTAGGCAATCAAATCCAAAGTCCGAATCACAGAACAAAACTGCAATCACACCAAAGATTCAACCAAAAGTCCACACACTACACGGGGTCAACTTCAACCATTCCCTATACTTATACCCCTTGCTTTAGGCATGCAAGCCCCAACCTTTGCCTAACCTTCCAGAAAAAATACTCAGCACTTTCGTTAAATGGCCATTCAATAAAAGTCCGGGTGAAAACCTTAACAAAACAATAGAAACCACCAGGGCTAAAACCTTTTAGGTCGGGTATTGAGAATGGATTGGAGTTGAGTCGTAAACCGACAAATCGGCAACCGACCTGTTATCGATGATAACAAAAGATGATCCTCGTAGGATCAAGCTGACTCTAGTCCGAATCCTGTAACACAAGACAGGCCAATCCCCAAGCTAAACCTATAAATCCACGGAGAATAACCTCCATAACACGATCTCACTCAACATCGTTCTTAATTAACTGAGTCTAAATTTATCCCTAAGCAAACATCTAAGGAAAAGGTAGATCCTAGCCGGATCTCCTCTATACAGAGTGGATCTTCAGAATCGTCACTTGTCAAAATATAACCCATCTCCCTTAAACTAAGAAAATTTCTACAGCGCTTCCCGTAAGACTGAAATATTCTCTAACTCTTGAAAAGTCAGATTTTGTCTAACTCCCTGAATTAGTAAAAATTTGGGCAGCACTCCCTTTAGAAATGGAGACTTCCCAGATTTGTACTGAGTCAGATGCAAACTCAAAACAAAACTCGAGTCCAACTAAGACAATATTTAACTAACTCCTTAAATTTGTAAAAACTTGGGCAACACTCCCTTCAGAAAAAGAGACTTCCCAGATTCATACAAAGCTAAGTTCAGAACCTTAAATAACTTTGACTTCTCAAGGTGCGACTTTGTCTAACTCCTTGATTTAGTAAAAAATTGGGCAGCACTCCCTTTAGAAAATTAGACTTTCTAGATTTTTACCAAGCCATATATAAAAGTTAGACAAGGTAAAGTTTGAAAAGACAACCCAAGACCAAGTATAACAAATGATCCCAGAAAATGCAGAAATCGACCTAAGTAAAATAAACTTAGCTCATAAAATGCAGGAATTGAAACTAACTCCTATGGCTCTAGCACTTGGCGAGCATCTAAAGCAACTACCTGTCAACTGGAACTCAGACCAAGTACTAATCTCACTCAGCCACATGCAAGGCCAAACCACAAAGGTAAGTATTCTCACCAACCCAAAGTCAATCTTACCAAACAATAGTTCATAGTCTTTCAATGATTTATCCCTTTATACCGACCTTACATAAGGCATAAAGCTAGACCACCCAAACTTATGGAACATGTCTAGCTCAACCATTGGATATACACAAACACAGGGCACTACAACTTTTCTCTTCCTTGGGCACGTGACTAGACCACCCTAGTCGCCCTGAACTGTTTAAGTATCCAAGTTTTATATAATTATCTGCACTTCATCTTTTAAGGTAGCATATGACTGAACCGATCATCTTTAGCTCGAGGTTCAGCCTGCCCCTTCTTACCACAAGGTTTATTCTTAGTTAATACTCTCTTCAGTTTGTGATAAGCTATAGTCAGAACACCTAAACTTATGGAACAATGTCTGACTAACCAGTTCATAAATGAAGTAATAGTAAAATATAGCCAAGTTATCACTTTTTGTTTCCAACATATGCGTGGCATTGGACCAAGACCACCCAAACTTATGGAACATGTCTCGTCCTCTGCCTGATTCATTTTTTCTTAATGGTAAAGTAGGAAGAGGTTGAGCCACCCAAACTTATGGAACATGCTCAGACCTCCTCGTTCAAAACCAAAAGAAACTGAAAAAACCCAAAATAAACAAGGCAACCAAGCCACCCACACTTATGGAACAGTGCTTGGTTCCCAAAAAGTCGACCAC